TATTGATATTATCAGATTTCGAGGTTGCTTCTAAATTTTCATCACAAGAGAGATGTTCATACCTGTTTGATGATATGGCGTCATGCTCGCTGTTAGTCTTCTTAGAGGGTCCTACAGAGTTGTCATCATTGCGTCTTTTTTGACGTCTAGCGGGATTGTTTGCCATGAGCTGCTCAGGTTGGAAGCCATTTCCTGCGTTGAAGATACTTGGCCGTTAGTTGCTGTAGCTTCTAACACGGTAGCTGGGATTTCTTTTTCACGCAGATATTGCTGTATTTGAAATTGTAAATGTTGGTTCTGTTGCACTAATTGTTGTAAGTGTTGTTTTAATTGTTGATGTTCTTGCAATAACACTTGATGCTGTTGCTGAAGGTTCTGTGTTAGGTCGTTGTATTTTAAAGTCGATCCGTTCGTACTATTGTTAACGAATGCTTCACTGTTTTCTTGGTTATTTAGAATTTCTGCTGACTTTGTGATTAGTCCCCCGAAGGGGACGTAGTCAGTTAACATTATTCACTTCACTGTATATGGACGGTATTGATTTGCAGTAGTTCTTAATACACCACTGTTCACAAGAGAATGAGGTTATCTTGTTCACAAATAAAAGCGGTCACCACTGTTTCACTAGTAAATTTGAACGATACCTTAAATGTTGGGAAAATGTTGTCAATAACAGACAGAACAAGATGATACTCTTTCAATAGTCAACGCTTCACTTAAATTCACGAAATTAACTATAAAATGAGGAGCCGAGCGTGAACCTTCTAACAAGAACTAATAATGGACAACAAATTTAATTTGAAGTAAAAACCTCTATCTTCAATTTTGTAGTTCTAGGAAGACGCAAAAAAATCATACTTTTGGAATTTTGGAAAATTCAGAGTTAACTGTAAAAATCGGACTTATGTCCGACTTGTGATCACACCTTATAAATGTATGTTACTCTATTCTTACAAGAAATGTTTCGAAAAAAAATGGAGCCATTTTTAAGAATATTATGAAAATGCCCGGAGGGCTTCACGTGTAGTACCCCGAAATTTTAAGATTGTTTTTCAAAATCTTAAAGTTTTGAATCAGTCCGGGTGGATATGGGTTTCTTCAAATTGGAAAAAATCCTACAGATGGTTGAGGCGTCAATAGTGTTCGCAGATGGACAGTCAGACGGACAGACGCATGTTTTGTCGTCAGTTTATTTTGGGGTATCAATGACCCTCAAAACCGGGATTCTGGATACACCACGTATTAGAAGATTTTTCTTCATTAAACAACTTTATTTATCTATTTTTTCTGTATCAAGGCCAGGCAATGAATTTTTGTCTGCCGAAAATCCGCAGTTTTTTCGCGCAGCATTAGATAACTTTCCCTCTACAATGCATACGGGAAAATAAAAATTGAGGCGGAGCGTAGCGGATCCTAACTTTTCAATTTGGACGAGGCAGTAATAATACCAACATTTCGTGAAAGTTCAGCTTTTTATCTACCACCAAAAAAATCTCATGATTTATGCGAAAATTTATGACATTTCTGCGACAGTAATGAAAAAAAAATGTGTTCGTGCGGCTCGTCTGAACGATATTGTGGGGTGTTGCTAGCAATATATCGAATACTTCTATACCGTGGTTTGAGAAAGATGTGCCGGAATTCTTCTGTACCCAAGGAAATTTTAGATGAACCTGCAGAAACCACATCAGATTGGATCCCAGAAAAACCAAAAGCACGATATGACAAGACCTATCAGGAATTTAAAACATGACAAATTCAAAATCACGTACACGTGATTACAGAAGTTGTAATTCTTGTTTATTTTAAGAACATGGTAAGCTAATTTACACTTATTCCTTTTGCAAAGACAAATATTTTTCTTATGTTTGGATTTTCAAAGTCATAGGCTTCTAAGGTAACCTCATTATAGGTTTATTATTCAAAGTTGAGTCACATTCACGCCGTGTAAAAATATGATTACCAGAGAAAGTTTGATTTTGTGTAATGTCAGGAAAGTTATGTTCATTTGTCTAATATACATTTTTCTAATTGTATTATTAATAATATTACAATTAACAATAATTATCTCAAGAACTAATATTAGTTACTTTTATTTTGATTTGTTTGAATCTGTTTTGGACATCATGTTTTTCTTAAGAAACAATTGACTTGCGGTGAATCAATGATTGTTTATTTACGTTGCTAAAGATGTAAAACCATTTGCTAATGATGTTAAACTTTTTAACATATAGGTACGTACAAGTGCGCTTAAGAAATCTATAGGGTTGCATGTCAACAGGTGTTAAAAACATATGTGACTAACGCACATGCAAAAAACTAACACACAGTGTGGGCTAGAGTAAAACGTGAACATCAGAGCCCAGAAAACCTACAATTGACCTGGCTTAATAGAAGAAAAATAGAAAATTGCGAAGAAAAGTGGCATCTCAAAATTCGTTCTTTATAATTTAAGAAAAGAGATCTGTATAAAAAATGTTTTATTATTACTCCTTAAACTTTTATGAAGAATGGTTCATCCCAACCCGTATTCAGAGTAAAACATACGCAGTTCATATATAAAGAGTTGAACGCCTACTGTATTACTCGCGCAACTTTTCTTGAACGGTGACCTTGCTTCCCCCTCTCTGACACAATAAACACGTGAAGGCGAAAGTTCGCAGCGAGCACTGATGACAACATTCCAAACACATATTCACTAGCGTGAAATAGAAACAATTTTCTTTTGAAAACGATAACTTCTAACGGTTATTTTTTCCAAAACTAAAAAAATCACTGAAACGGGTAAAGATCTATCACAGGAGATACCTTGAACACCTGATTAAGTTAGAACGCAAATTATTGATAACGTTGCGAAGGCATGACTGATTCTCCATCGATTGCCATTGCTTCATAAAATCTAGTGGTCGATTTCGTAACTAATAGCCCCACGATACCCGCAATTCTTCAATCCATCGTTCAAGAAAAGTTGCGCGAGTAATATAAAGTACAGTCAGTTACATTCGGACAAAACCATTATTTCCCTTTTAATGTAATGTCATGTGCCTGAATTTAATGCTTTTATTCAAGATACCATAAGCAAAATGCAGTATCCGAATATTCTCAAGAAAAAATTGCACAGAAACGCAGAGAAAAGGGTATTAAACTGGGGAAATTGTTTTCAATGTTATCAAAACTACGGTTCTAACTAAGAATAGGCGTACGTTGTGCCTAAGTAAGAAAATGATTTCCCTACATATGTCCCAAGGTACTCTATACGCCACCCAATCTCCATAGAAACCCTATTGAAAATCTTTTCCATGAATCAGAAACAAAGATTCCTAAACACCACATTCAGTAAAAGAGGGATTAAAAGAAAGATTACGAAAATAATGGTGGAAAATTGGGGGCAATTATACCCCAAAATTAGTAACTTCAATGCTAAGAGGATTGAAATTAGTGTTAAAACAAAAGGGAATAACCACAAAATATACCGTTGACCGAATATTAAAATGAATTAAAGTGGGTGTTTGTATCATTTAAGACTTTTACAAGTTTATGACCATTATTTTGTTTAGTTTCCTGTAAACATCATTTGATTTTGTTCAGAAAAAATAAATTAATATTTATATTTATTATACTGACTTTTTTTGTACGAATAATCATAAACAAATCATAAAACGTAATAACGTGATGTTAATATGACTCATTGTTTGTTTTTTGTACAAAGACGCCCAGTGGCCTAACAAGTCCTTCCGCTAAAGAAACTAAATTGGAGCCCGCCCCACTCAAAAAATGTTGTCCAACTAAAAAAAGAGCGTGCAAATTCAAGGCAACTTTATTAATCTTAATCAATCATCAAATTCAGAATTGAGCCCTGAGGAGTTTCGTTTTGACGAACTTATCTAAACGTTTAACGAGTTTGTCACTTTCCTCTTATGGTCAATAGCTAAGGTTTTATTTCTAATATTTTTAGTTGGGGCTCTAGGGAGGGATCACCGCATATGACATTTGAATCCTTTGAATTGAGCCTTCCTTTTTGCTCATGAAATGTTTCAAACTATGAAATGCAGCCCAAAATAGCCCCTCTCGCCACATTTAAATGAAGCAATAAATTATTGGGGCCATGAGAAGTCAAATTGCAAATTTGGAAAACATCTTCGCGTTCTCATAATAAAATACAATTCTAACTTTACACTAGGCGATTTAGGGTAATAAACAAATCGCTTTCAGAAAGGGCCTTTATAGTGTGTCCAGTTAGACAAAAATAAAATTTTGCTTTTGAGGGCCCCTTATGTACTGGGTTCTAGGTAATTGCCCTGCCTGGTCGGCGATACTTTCGCCACTGAAGGAGCTTTTACCTGAAACGAGAATCAGAGCAGTGATCCACTGCGTGGCGCGACTTCGGTTGACGGCGTTCTGCATAACAACAGGGTAGCCACATCCGGCTCGGTGCCGACCTGTCCACCACTGCCGACGAACTGCAGCAGCGAGCCGCCGAGCGGTTCCGGCGATGAGCGACCGCAGCGCTCACGGCGGCTGTGGAAGGAACTTCTTCGCTTTTCCTCGGGGATTCCACGGTCTTCTGCGACTTCCTGATGAAGGTTGCTCGACTAGTTTGCCACTGCGGGCGACCTCTCTCCGTACGGACGGACGTACGCGCCCGCACTGCTGAGAGGCAATGGCAGAAGAGACTTTGTTGGTTGCGCAGAAGACAATTATAGTTATTGATGCATCGTATAAAGGTTCTGATGATCGAGCAGCGACGAAAATCCCGAGTTCTTTTGGCCCGAAGGCCTTTAGCCTGAGGGCCTATGGCGCGGAGGTTTTTGGCCCGATTACTTTTTGTCGCTCGAGATCATTAGATTCAGTTAACGCCTATGCTATGTACATGATTCTATTTATACCTAATTTTGTTGATTCAGATTTACTTATGTACTAATCAACTAAAAGTTAACTTGAATCAGTTGGTCTTATCAAATTTCCCTCCCATAATTCCCTCCGTGTGAGAATACGTAGCATCATTCAACTGTTTTCATATTTCCCTCATAACCCCAATCCTCTCGATCCAGGTAAGTTATGTAGTGTTTAACGAGATTCGTATTGAAGACAATGACAAGCAATTACGTATCAGTAAACAATAAAAGTATTTTTTGGCCATCTTAATATATGAAGAGCTGAACTATATAAAATTTAGAGTCAATTATGAAGTCAGCAGTCAACCTATACATGGGGTTGTGGAGTCATTTGAATAGTGTTTCCAGATTAGGGATTTTATCCCTGAATTTGGTATTGGTCACTTCAGTCGCAATTGTGGGGAGAAAAGTGTTCTAGGAGTTTTTGTTTGGAATTTTAATTTCATTATGCTTTTGAAACAAACCTTATTTGAAAAACAAATAGATTAAATAAAATTAAAATGAAAATTATTTACTCTAACATACGTTAAAATGAATAAACTGGTTTCGATCATATTGAAACCGATTAAGGAAAATATGCACCAATTTGCGTACCAAATCTGTTCAATAAGAGTTACGAAACCTAACAGGTACATTATTTCTTTTTCGGTAATTAGAATGAAACGAAGTTGCCCCTTACGCTTCGTACATTATCTTACTGAAAAACACCTCTAAAGACATACATTTTCTTACAATAGAATGATATAAGTTTGAACATCTCTGACTCGTGGTGAAATCGAGTTTGTACTCGTCATGCTAATAAAAAAGGATGGATTTATCTAAATTGAATTGTCAGTCCTTTTGGTTATTATAAAAGGGCTTAATGGTTTATTTGTTTAGAGAGTAACAATGATATAATCTAACTACCTTTGAACTGACGATAAGAACATGTTTTTATTTCAAACGTATTTTGGCAAACACCAGATAATTGAATTTCTTTCATTATTACTAAAATAAGGAAATGTATTAAAATAGAATATAGACACTTTTAGAAAAATCGATCACCCCCATATTTTTTAAAAGAACAACAAATGATATTGTTTTAATAAATGCCGGAAGTGTTGCTTCTTGTTCAAGGGAAAAAGCTTTCTTTTCGAGAAAATGCTTTTTTATAAATTGCGTAAATTGTACGCAGAAATTACCTGTAAAATACTTTTGTGTTTGTTTGTTTTTTTCATAAAATTTGGCTTGACCTTGTCTAAAGATAAAATTTTGTAAAACAATTTTCATTTAAAACGAAAATTTCCATTGTCAACATTACACTTTTGCAATGTTAACGTTTTGAAATGTTCGAAAATACCAATAATTCACTGGAAAAGGAAATGACAGCGGCTTTTTACCTTTCTTTGATACAAACGAGGAGAACATTTAAAGAAAACCTTTAGAGTTGTTTTGTGTGGACAAATTTGTTTAAAAATTGCACATGATTTCATTTGAAGCAAAAGTTACATGAAAAGAATCGTTTTTTCGAAAAATTGTGCAACATAACCTCGTTTCAAGATGTCTTTGAACCGTTCCCTTAAGAAAATATATTTATCTTAAGTAATTTGGTTGTAGGAATACGCAAATATGTCTCTAAAAGCTATTACTTACTTTGTTCGAAAGAAATCATTAATATAAAAAAATATTGTTTTCAAACAAGGACAGAATTGTGCGTTTCTACATCCGTATAACATGTATTGGATAGCTACTTTTTATATTTCAGTTCTTATTATCTCGTTATTAAGAGTCATAAAGTTTATATACCCAAACCAAACTTTCAAAAACTCGTTTTTCTCAAAACGGTTTTTTTTTTTTGCATATGTGTCATTTTGCGTAGACCGCTTCAATTATTGAAAATCCGAAACCCCTTTGTACCCAATTATTTCAGATTATATACTCTACTGCTCATAGATATTCGCTTTGCGCTGCCAGTGATTTTTGAATGAAAATGACGGAGACGTGCTCAATCGAAAAAGACACGCTTTGAAACATGGTTGAAAAGCGAAGTCGTAGGCTTCCGCGACCAGAGTCGTGTGCATGATCTTGTCTGTCCGGGTGACGCCGCGGCGAAGGCTGTGTTGTCGACGTTTCGACCATCTTGTCGTGGTCTTCCTCAGAGCTGGTATGGATCTGGTTTCGCATATGTCCTGAGTCGTCAGTTCCTGGTTCTGCGCGCGCCGAGGGGTCGCTTCGGCCTGGGGCGAGGCACCAACGTGCGCAGCACAGCGCGCAGACATCTGCCCATCCGCGCACGCGCAGCCCACCGCCGACTGCGCGCTATCTCTGCGCAGAAGGCGGCGGCGGCCAGCGCCAGCCCCGCGCAGAGCAGCCACAGGTGCGGCCGCAGGTCCTGCAGCTTCAGAGTCCTGACTTCGTCGCTTGCCGACTCCGACTCTGCCTCACCACTACCCAGAGGTGCACCGTTGTACAGACGCCAGAACATGCCCCACGTTCTGTTGAAATCGTCAGCCCATTTGAGATAAAGTCCCGCCTCTCGGAAATGAATCATCTTGAGATTAATTACATCCACCCACGGCCAGTTCCTGGAAATTTATAATCAGATGCAGATTTTCTACAGACAGGGAATTTAGGAATTACTTCGGGATGTTAAAGAAAACAAGTAATTATGAAAATATTGCGGCATAAAAAATCAAATGACTTGTAAATTTTGAAAATAAATGACCTCAGAAGTTGGTGTGAGATTTCTTAAGATAATTTGTTTAGATTTTTGCAGGGAAATAACTCAGCGAAGAGTTACAAATTTTGTAGTAGTTTGTCAAATACAACAAAACTTACACTATCCAATTCAAAGAAAGAAATCAAGCTCGCTAGTGTTTTTAATTCTTTTTTCCTTGACATGTTCAATAACTCTGAAATTGTTCTTTATTTCGCTGGTAATTACTATATCTAGCTTTGTCCCTTCATAAATATCACATAAAAATTTATATTGTATTTGTCACAAATCTAATTAAAAAAAGCATACATTAGTTCAACAATAGTCGACTATGTAATTGAAAACTAGTGGTGCCACGGCTGCACATTTTCCCTTATTACATAAAACGTTTGCAATATTCAACTAGTGGTGCAACAACAGCACATATTTTCTCGTGTTACTGGAAACAGCTTCGGAATATTGAATTAATGCATTTTCTGAACTACTTACACCTCAGCTACTGAAAACGTCCAATTCAAACAAAGCGCCTTGGATGCATATCTGCATTCATTTCACGGAACGTTCAGGAGATTCTGCAATGGGTGGCTCTGCCGTTCGTGAACACCCATGCCCTATTTCAACCGAACAACGCGCATCCGCATACCACAGCCATCTCCGGAGCATGCCTTGAGGCCGTGGATACTCTGCCATGGCCAGACCTCTCCCCGATCAAGGGGTGATTGGAGTGCTATGGAGCATGCAACCAGGAACCCATCCCTACCCACCGATATGCAAGAACTACATGCTCAGGTGCGAGCTGCATGGGATGGACTAGAACAGAACTCCACTCGAGACCTGAACAACTCCATGTCACGACGTCTGGACGCGTGTGTTCGCCAACATGGCGGCCTCACGCCATACGAAGTTTTCCTGTTTGTGGCCGTGTAGCGCAATAAATGTTGGTCCTACAAATGTGAAAGTGTAATAATTTCGCATGCGTGGTACCCTCTGCCTGCCTGCCCACAATGATTGCAATCCGCCTCATCCTTCTGGGTATACAACATAAATATATAAACAAGTTTAGTTGGTGCTGTTAATGTATTTTACTATATCTTTATGTTAGTAAAATCAGTCGTTATGAGCAATTCTATTTAATTTTGACATCACTGAATACAGTTACCTTCTGATATAGTAAACCAAAAATGATAGTCTCTAAGTGTGACTATAATTGACAGCATTAATACTACTTCTATTCTAACGATATATTTAATCTAACGAGTCTTTATGAAGAATTATCTGGGTTATTTCTAATCTCGTGTTTACAAATTATGAATACTTACATTACTTACCATTTCGTAACCATATAATGCCAATGGGGTGCCTCTGCGTCGACAACTTTCATTAACCCCATCTTTCGACGATTTGCAGAAACCAACAGGGGCCAATCTCTATCGGTTGAAAGTACAGCGTAACGATTTTCATCAAGATACCGTTGCTTCTCCCTCCAATTATTAAAAAATGTAACTTTGTGGTTTACATAAAACTTGATTACATCTTCCGTACACATACTGTCATTAGTCCTTGCACAAAATTGTTTCACCATGTCTATTTGAGGCTGTAAGTTTATAGAAGCCAATGCTGGCATTCCAATGTGAATCAGTTGATCAATTGTTTCGATGCCCGGGTAGCATTGGGGAATCATAATCAAGTCGAAAAGACGGCCCTAGAAAAAAAATGATTAATTCAAGTGAAAACGTTGAGACTCCACCGAGTTCCAAAAGTTTTACACAAGCATTTTCAGATTTCGAATGATACAGTATTTTTATCTTCCATGTTTATAATTGCGACTGGTTTTATCTGAGAATCATTGCCGATGTCTCTGCACCAACTTTGATCAA